AAATGCTCTGCATAACGCCATCCATTACTGTCACTTTGAAGGAGAACTATGGGTTTAGGGCTTTTCACCATAGTTCTCCTTAGGGTAACGGGAGGACACAAACTAGCATCCTCCCGTCACCCTAGGCTCAGTATACCGCGAGCTGCTGCTCACGGTATACTGAGACGCTGCAGCTGAAGCGGATCCCGACAATTATGCCGGGATCCTCCCAGCTGCGTGACTGACAGCTGGCTCTGCCTATCTAGAGGCAGACCCAGCTGTACCCGCCCCCGTCCGTTCTCACCTCATAGTTCTCCTTTTAAGCATCACTTCATCAGTTTGGTCATAATAGCTGTAAGGAGAGCCGCTTAGAACTTTTATAACTTAACACTTCAAAGTAAGTCTTACCGTCGGGCTCCATTAGAAAAAAGCAAAATCCGCCGAAAAAAAGGGTCGTGTAGAAGCGACTTGTGACCGTGACGCGCGACATGGAGCTAAGACAGCTCCATTGAATATCATTAGCCGGCGACTTCTCGCGATATCGCGCTGCAAAAATGCACGATATCGCGACGGAAATCGCTACGTGTGAATGGTGCCTTAGGCCTCTTTCAGCATTGAAACAGGTTTTTCTCTAGAACTGACTGTAACGGCTTTATCTATCATGCCCTTAGTCCTGACCCGACCAGTTTTTTTAGCCCCTACCAATGGCAAGCATCTTTACAACATAATACTTGTCCCACTGTATTTCATCTTGGGAACGGTATTTAGAGGGTGTTGATTATAAAAAGTTACAAATTGGTGCCATCAGACAAGGGAACCATTTTCCACGTTTGCTGTGTCTCCTACTCGCCTTTTAGCTAACTCCAACTCAGATTTAATATAGATTTTTGATCAACACCTTTTTTTTAATGCCCTTTTCTAAAGACCAACTTTGTGGATGCTCTGGGTTTACCAAAAAACGATTTATCAGCTGTGAATCTCTGTGGCTTTTTCTGAGTTACCATTAGCTTCTTGATTAGTAGGGATGCACAGATACTTTTCGAGTACCAGTGCAGATACTTGGCATTTTCATGAGAACTACCGGGGTTGCAGCGGTTGCAGCTGGGACCTGGCTCTGGCACTCCACCACTGTCCTGAAATCATTAGTCTGTATTGTTTTAGAAAAACTGTCACATGACAATAAACAAAAATGTATCAGTACTTGTAAGTACTCTGCAAGTACCAGTACTCGTACTCGTAAAACTGGTATCTGTGCATCCCTTTATTTATATTTATAAAAACAAAATCGTACATTAATACAGAGATGTACAAATCCCAGGAGCTCCGTGTGCTCCTTATAAATGACAGCTGCCTCCTAATTTTTGAATTTTTCTCTAGTCTAGTCTTGGAGCTCAAAAGTATTGGTACATGTACTCGTACTTGTACCGAGTACTGTACTTGGTATCTGTGCAACCCTACTTTATAGACTGATGCCCTCCTTTTCCAGTCGCTGAGTTTTAGTGGGCTGCAAAGGTGCACTTCTACCATATTTTTCTCCATTTTCATGTAATGGTTTCATCAATGCTGCAGGGGATGTTCAGGGTGTGGCATTCTTTTTTATAAATTAATAATGATTGATGTTCCTCCCAGAATTTTAATCTAGGCTGGTTTAAACTGCTCATTATAATGCTGTTTGTTTAGATAAGTTCTATATGGAGCTATTTAGCATTTTATGTGTTGCTCTTTGTCATTTGACCTGTGAAGTAAGCCTGAAAGCCCATTTCACTTTTCCATATTTTGTGTTGGGCTAATAAGGAGGTCAGAAGAAGTGCTCTATGTAGCACCATTCCTGCACTGCTTGAACTGCCAATCAGTAATTCATTTCTCCCTGCATTGCACTAAAGACTTTCTACAGAGAAGTCAAATCTGGAGGTTGTATACTGTAAGGCCTGGTTCACACCTGGGCGAGGAACACGCTGTAAAACGCTCAACATGTGAAAACCAATGATTGCCTATGGGCATGGTTCCCACCTGGGCGTTTTACAGCGCGTAGCAACGCGCTGTAAAACGCCCTATGCACAAAGAAGTACAGGAGCTTCTTTGGGGCGTATTCGCCGCGCGTATCCATTAGGATACAGCCTGATAGCCCTCGGAAACGCGCGTTTGTCGCGCGTTTCTTTTACCGCACATCGTGGAAACGCGCGGCAAACGTGCATATTCCGTACGCCCAGGTGTGAACCCAGCCTTACTGTTGCTGATTTGTTTTTGTTTTGTCTTTTTGATTGTTAAAATAGAAGAATATGCATGCTGCCATTGCTATCCACCTTGTGAAAATGCTACTTAGTTGGTCACCATGTTGTGATTTGATTGAACTCAATGGACATTTGACTTTTTGAACTCTACATACAGTATGTAACTATGCTGATTTAGTAGCTTCAGTACATTCTGTGTCACCTAACTGGAACAAGTATGTGGACTAGTCTACAGCAGGCTTTCTCAACCAGAGTTCCCTCAAAAGTTGCTAGGAGTTCCTTGAGAGATGGTGGATGTATCACCCACCTACACTGACATCCAATGTAAGGGGTCAGTTCTCCACTTTAATTGGGTACTACTTTACCCACCAGCAGTGTAAGGGGGCCCTTCTCCCACTGACCACCAGTGTAAGGGGGCCCTTCTCCCACTGACCACCAGTGTAAGGGAACACTACAATTGTCACAGTCTGAGTTCTTCTCTTGCCAATATTATTTATACCATGTAGATTTATGTTGTTGTGTAGCGTCCAGAGTTATTGGAAAACGATCTGCCATTTACTCAGCACGTAAGTGTAGCTTACATAATGATGTGTGAGAAGTGTTCTGTGCTCCAATACTGTGAGGCCAGGCTGGCATGATGACACACCACCAAGAGGTTGGCCTTGATTCACAGGAAGTGGGCTAAATGATGCTGGATGTCATTGAACCCGGAAGAGGAGCACCATCTTCTGGAACAAATTTTTTTTTTTGCAGGGGACTTTTTTTTTTTTTTTTATAACATATACTATATATTCTTTTTAATAGCTGGGGTTCTGTTTCAAACCTTATTTTTTTATAAAATGAGTCATTAAAATATATGCTAAAAGTTATAGGGAAGGGTTAACACCCCTTTGAGTAATTATTTTGCTCCCTGTATACCTTTTAAAGTGACATTAAACCCTCAGATGTTTTAACATAAAACAATAGTGTAATGTGTGCCTTACTGTAATCCATGGTTGTTTCCCTTCTCTTTGATGCTCTTCCTTTTAAATCTGTATCTTTTCTCATGCTTGGGGAGAACTTCCCTTTGCAGCTCAGGGCCTCTTCCTGTAGTGCTGGCTCAGGTTACAGCCTATAGAAACGTATACACAGACACCGTTTGAGACAAGGCAGTCTGCTGAAAAGGGAAGTTCTCTCCAAGCATGAGAACAGATACAGATTTAAAAGGAAGAGCAGCAAAGAGAAGGGAAACTACCATGGATTACAGTAAGGCGCACATTACAGTATTGTGTTATGTTAAAAAATCTGAGGGTTTAATGTCACTTTAAGGAAGATTTCCTTTGCTTCCTGTCCTTGAGACATAACAGAAAATGAGTAGAATTCTCACCTTAGACAATAGTCGCTGGCATATTTGTCCCCATTGGAGTGTTAAGGCCGTGACGCACTGCAGGCGAAGCAGCGCGGAGCGGTGGCGCGCTGCCTTTGCGAGCAGTGTGTCATGTCATTTTCTTCTCGGCACCTCAGCTTGCGTGAGCTCGCAGAGCTGAGCGTGCCGAGATGAACAATTTCAACTTCAGCCAATCGGCTCGCGCGTATAAACCGGCGCGACGGGATGCGACGTCTGGCCGGTTGTTACAGACGAGCCGATTGGCTGAAGGCGCAGTCAATCATCTGACTGCACTCAGCTCACACACTGCACGCGAAGCTCCGTGCCGGAGAGCTTTGCTTCGCTCTGCACGGCTTCGCGTGCAGTGTGTCACGGCCTTTATGCTAATTTTTGCTGTGGCAAATAATCTACAATTGTGGCTTTTCCCTCACTTACTGTCTCGGGGGCAGTGGTCACCAGTACACACAGATCAGGTGACGGAGAAAAAGAAGGTTCTAAACCTTCTCCACTCTATCTAAAAGAAAATATTTTTGCTTTTACATGCATTTTAACTTTTCCTCCTGTCCGCATAAAGTGTCCTCCTACAACCTAATCCTAACTATAGCTCTTAACATCTAATTTGCCATAAGTAGCAGTGCCTGTGTCATAGCAGTTGTGCTGAGATCCTTAGCCCAGAAGTTACTGTTCTATTTTAGTACAGTGCATTGGAACGAGTAGGTTAAAGACCAGACTGTATGCTGATAAAAACTTGCTGAATCAAAATATTTAACTGACCCTTGTTAGTCCGTAAAAGGCCATTACATATGGTAGGTCATCTCACCTTTCCCACACTGCCAAAATGTAAACATATGGCCAGAGAAGGTTGAAATACAGTTTTCGTTGGTTTCCTTTATAGCAGGGGTCTCAAACTCAATTTAGTCTGGGACCACTGGACACATTTTTTAGTCCCGTGGGGGCCACTACTATGTACGGTAGCAGTGTTAATGTATGCACGTTACAAGCGGCAACTGTCACCCATTCATGATAAACTCCACCATCCCTACCAAGTCCCCAGCACACATGATAAACTTCCCCCCCTTAATCCATCATTCAGCCAGAGCTCAGAACTGACCAGAGCTCCGGCCGGAGCTGACAGGTGCAGCTCTGCGGTCTGCCTCCGACACAGATGCAGACCGTGTTGCTGCTCCCGCAAGTCAGGCACGCCGTCCGTGTACCTGACTTGGCAGCTGGCTGCAGGCCGCTTAGTACTAGCTCGCAGGCCAAAGTTGGTCCGCAGGCCGGTACTTTTGAGACCCCTGCTTTACAGTATTTGTTTTCAAGCAGCAATTGGTATCTTGTATTTTTGTTTAGTGCCTACATCTTTCCTATTAAAAGCCTTTTTAATTCTAATATTGTTAATATTAATGTACACTTTCTCTTTGTAGAATATTTTTGTGTCCGTTCCTTACAATCATGTACAATAAGGATCTGGATGCTGAAGACAGCCCTCTAAAAAATAATGATGTAAAATCTCTGGAAAACAATAATGCAAGCGAAGAAAAGGATGTACATATTAAAAAGAAGAGCAAGGTTACACGCTTGTCTCGAATACGCACAGCAGCCTTTTTTGGGTCATTATTTCTTTGTCTTACAGCAGTGTTTGCTTTTTCATTTATCATTCCTTGCCCAGTGAGACCCTTTTCCCGGAGAACATGGAGTGTACAGTATGATAATGCTGGTAAGTTAATATAGCTGGTCATCTTTTATATTGCAAGCTACACAATACAATAGCTGACTGGTTTTTATAGCTTTAAAGTATTTCTCAAGTCAAAATCATTTTTTTTTATTGCTGCATGCATCACCACTGGGGAGCTTTGCACTAACTATTTTTCTTATAAGACACAGCTCAGAAAGTGATGGGAAATACAAAATGTTACAGTTGACACCATATCCAGTGACAACTAAGACAAGGTTTCCGCTCACTTTGTAGATATTTCCTCTTGCCTTCTTTTGTGTCACTGGTACAAGAAATAAAGGCAAATCTCTCCAATGGAACACAGCAGGAAAAAAGGTTTTTTTTGCTGTGCCCTACTTAAGCCAAAGCTTAACGAGTATCTAAACCTCAAAAGAAAAGTTCAATATATTGCAGTGCACCAGTCCTTGATGAAGTTGGCTTCATTCGTTTTTTGGATTTAGACTTTTTCGTCTCTATTTTCACCTGGTAATTCTGAAAATAGCACACTTCCTGTCCTAGGGTGGCTATACTCATTGATTGGACTGTATACATGGAGGGAGCTTTGGTTGTCACCCAGACTGGATTCCAAACATATCTTCCTTTCCATCTCCATTACATTAGGGGTGATAGTTTGAAGTTTAAAGAAGGAAGATCTCATTTATTTTTGCTTTTAGTTCAGCTCATTGACAGTGACAATGACATTGCATTTCTGGAAAGATCAGAAAAAAATCAAAAGGTATTTTCTATACTTAGTGAAACATTTCTTATCCTAATTCCTATAGTATATAAATACATGAAAACTAATGCATCTTGGGACTGATAAACTACAATACATTACATAGTTGGTCTTGGGTTAGATACCTAAGATTTGGATGAATTCTTAAATGATAGTATAGAAAATGTATGTGTGTCCTTATCACAATATGCTGGTTAATATTTGTCTTTTTTGTGTTGATGCAGTTGGCTACATGTTCCTTGCTACTGAAGATGTGAACGAGGATAACGTGCAAGATATTCTTTTTCTTTTTAAAGCTGATAATTCAAGCAACTTGAATATGTCCTGCGCAGATGGAGGTACATATTTTACGTCTTGCTTGTTTGCATGTGCAAGTTTTTATAATTGTGTTTTGCAAATGTTGCAAAACCACTGAAAGAAAGAGAAGCAATATGGCATACCTTGACAAATACAGGCTATGAACATGACCCAGTATGTGACAACAAAACAGCTTTGCCCCAGTAAAGTTTATTATAAATCCTAGTGGAGCTGGGTACACACTGTGAGGCTGAATGAAAAATAATCTGAAAAAGGACTCTATCCACACCAACAGCGTGGATGGATGAATCTCCTGCTGTGTCCTTTGTATCCTGACAGCAGCGCCCACCGCTGACAGAATACCCAAACAAGACTTGCAGAGACAGGCTTCGGGATCCAGGAATCATCAGCCAACAAAAATTGGGGGACTCAGAAGGCTTAAGGGAAAGGTTATTTTCAACCCCCAAAACACAATGACTGTCCTTTGCCCGTGGGAGGAAAATTGGAGGCTTTCCTTTCACTATGGCAACAGATCGCCTCTAGCAAATTTATTCTGAATCTGGTGGCAAATGGGTACTAATTGTAATACTCATAGGAGCCCCCAACAAGATATTTACTCAAAAAAACCTCCTAAAGATCCACTGAGAGCTTGTTCTCTGGTTTCTTTGATGTGGAAACTTGTATACCAGCAGGTGATAATTCCAGTCCTCCTTGCAGAGGAAGGACAAGGATTTTTTCTCCCACATTTTTGTAGTCCAAAAACTCCTGCTAGGTTTTAGCAGAGGCTCTTATACCCTTACACCTACAGTTAGTAGCCATAATTGCCTTCCTGAACAATCTTCGCAAAAATCTGGCAACAGCCAGCCAGTGGCTCCAAGATCTAGGTTGGATTTTGAAGCTTGAAAAGTGTTGCCTTGATACTGCTCAGTCTACAGTTTTTCTGCCTTAATAGGGCAGATCATTTTTCTGCCTTAAGAGAACATCGAAAAGTTGGAGTCTGCCTGCCCTATACTCTTACAGTGCACTCGCCATTTTCCCATCAGGGACATTATGTCACTATCCTTCCAGCAGTGAAGTGGGGTCACATGGACTTGAGCCCTCTCCACTCCATACTTCTAAAAATTTGGGATTGGTTCTCGGCCTCCTTCAACAAGAAAATAATTTTCCCATCAATGGTAAAAAAGTCTTTTTGCTGGTAGAAGAAGAAAAAAAAAAGCTTACCAGAGGCCTACTATGGGAATTTGACACTTACCATTAATGCCAGCTTGTTCATACCAGATTACCCAGGGGTCCTGGTCAAAAGAAGCGTAGTTTGTTATGCCTTTGCCCATTTCAGTTAATCCCAAGAATCCTTGGGAAGTTGCTGAAGGACATGAGCCTATTCTCGATTACCCCTTACTGGTCAAAGAGGGCATGGTTTTCAGTGCTACTCTCTCTAACCAAGGAACCCGCAATAATACCAATAATAGTGTTCACCACGCTGAATATTTTGCCATATCGTTCATTTTATACATGCCATATTTATCTATATACTGTTATTTATGCAAATAGAGATCTTAAAGGAGAACTATGGGGTTAGGGCTTTGCCCCATAGTTCTCCTTAGGGTAACGGGAGGACACAAACTAGCGTCCTCCCGTCACCCTAAGCTCAGTTGAGACGCCGCAGCTGAAGCGGATCCCGACAATTATGTCTGGATCCGCCAAGCTGCATGACTGACAGCTGGCTCTGCCTATCTAGAGGCAGAGCCAGCAGTACCCGCTCCCTCCCCCGTCCGTTCCGCCAGTCAGCTCTGGCGGGGAGGGGGGAATCCAGCCACTCCCCTGTCACGGCAGAGAGCTGTGACAGGATCGAGAGGTGAGCGAACGCCGCTATGTGTTCGTTCACTTCCAGATCTACTGAGCCGACCTGTGAGAGTCTCATTGTCACAGGTCGGCTAGAACTATGAGGTGAGTGAAAAGCACTCACCTCATAGTTCTCCTTTAAGTAAAGGTGCATGGCAGTGCATAGCTTTACCATCCTATTACTGTGAAGGGCCCATTGTTTGGTTTTAATGTGATTTTAAGGTTGCTCTATGTGAAATAAAACAATTTTCTTATTATTTCGCAAATATTTTTGGTATAGATTTCTCATTTTGTGGTTAAAGGCTAAGTTCACCTTCCAGTCCATGTTTTATGGTACACCCATATTTGGGCTGTACCATGAAACATGCTCATATTGCAACCCAACTGCAAATCCTTCCCTAGGGGTCACTGCACTTGTAGTCCATTAGCTCTGACTCCTATCCATGTTACTGCATGTCCATACCTCGGTACAGGCATGGACGAGAGGAATTGTCTGCAGGAGCTAGAATGTTGCACCCACGATCTACTGATCGCGGTTGCAATGCTTTACTGGCTTCTATGCAAAAAATAACAAGCGCATATTTTTGTGTGTGCATTTATTTTTTACAGAGCGAACTCTCCATTTAAATATAGAGATCTTAAGTTATTTTTTGTAATTTCCCAATCTTGGTTTGGATATATGCCCTATATAATTGGGGGCATTTTGTGAGGTTGAATTTGCATCTGTTTCTAATAGGGATGTCCCAATGCCACTTTTTCAGGCCCAAGTACAAGTACATCCCCTCATGTACTTGCCGATACCAATTACCGATACTTTTTCTTAAAGGGACAGGTGACTTTAAATGATCCATAGTACAACTACATGTTATGTACTATGGATCATGGTTTAACCTATTCATGTTAGCAGCGGAGAATTGTAACTCTATTGCTGGAGTGTAGTGGAGGTGTGTGCTGTATATATGTAACCTGCTCCTCCTTACTACATCTCCCCGCGTCCCTGTGCCGATCGTGGATGTGGGTGGGCGGTGAGTGTGCGGCGTGTGGAGCATGGATGCGGGCGGGTCTGGCAGCGGCGAGCGTGAGGTGGGGAGGACGTACGGCGCACAGCGTGTGGAGCTGTGAACAGGGCCAACTGAAGCCGATTAATCGATTATTGAAAAAGTTGACAACTTTTTCAATAATCGATTATAATCGAATATGTCGATTAGTTGTTGCAGCCCTAGTATCGGGACATCCCTAGTTTCTAACTTATTGTACTGTATGTGTTTTTAAAAAAAAGATAGTGATATAGAACTAAAGGATAATTTATACAACACAACACTTTTGCCTCTATTGATCATACTGCCTTGGGGGGTCTAAATTTCTTGGTACAGACACTGGCCTCACCTTGAAAAATCAACCTATCGAAACCAAGAATGTGTTGACTGGGGTTGCACTTTCATTTTCCATTAGTCCGCTTCTGCATTAAAATATGCTAGTATAAGCATTTTTTTTTTTTTTAGAGCACTATGAGTTATTAACGTTTAATTAACGTTTTGGAGTATAAGTGGAGTATTCTGAAATTAAGCACTGCCATATTTAAGCTGTGGTAGAAGGGACACTGATACGCATTATTATAATACAAATATTGCAGCTGGGTTTATAAGATGTTTACAGCTATTTTCAAATTCAGTTATGTGTTTTGCTCTTTACAGATTTGATGTCCCCATGTTTTTTTTTATCGGCCTTGTCTGGGACAAATGGGAGCTCAATTTGGATCAGCCCTGTTAGTGATGATGACAATATTCAGTTATCTCAGTGTGGAATACATAACCTTGGCGGTGCGGGACATTCTGGTTGTCTAATAATTGGAAATTCAGAAGTCTTGTTAGCAGTTGATTCAAAAACAGGCAAGTCAATTATAAGTATCTAGTAAAACTGAAAAATAAAGATCTACTTTAACCATTAAAAACTCCTATTTCTCTATATTTATGAATCTGAATTGTATCTAATGAAATGTTATTTTATTCTACTTCGAATGGCTCCTTCCACTGCTTTCCTCAAAAGGCACTTCCCAGAACCTCCTTAACCCCAGTAAGCCTATACAGGTGAAACTCGAATAATTAGAATATCGTGCAAAGTTCATTTATTTCACTAATGCAACTTAAAAGGTGAAACTAATATATGAGATAGACTCATTACATGTAGCAAAGCAAGATAATTCAAGCCTTGATTTGTCATAATTGTGATGATTATGGCTTACAGCTCATGAAAACCCCAAGAACCCCAAATCCACAACCTCAAAAAAGTAGATTATTACATGCAATCAATAAAACAAGGATTGTACATAGAGCAATATCGGACCTCTGAAAAGTACAAGCATGCATATGTTCTCAGTACTTGGTTTGGGCCCCTTTTGCAGCACTTACTGCAATTACTTTTGCACGATATTCTAATTATTCGAGTTTCACCTGTACTATAATTTTTACCACAAAAATCATTTATACAACATGCATAAAGTAGATTCGGATGACTGTGCAACAACATATTTAATTATTGAAAATATGATAAAAATTAGAGAATAACACATGGCAAATAAAATTCCACCACATTCTGCTTTTTGTGAATTTACTCTGATATACAGTCATGGGTTAAAACAAAAGAACTATTAAATTCACCTGTAAATTAATAAGCGCTATTATGATAATTTGTGGAACCTTAAAAGGTCTAATAACCTGTTTTATATTCCAGGAGATATTTTGTGGAGAAAACCAACTGGAATTGCATTTAACTCAGTGGTTATAAAGCCCGTGCTGAAAATCCCAGATATGGATGAAGATGGTATAGAAGATCTGATGATTTTTCTTACCAACGAACATGAAGTAAGATAAATTCCATAGCGTGAACCTTAAAGTGGACCTTTACCCCATATCTTTAAAAAAACAACAAACACACCTTTAGAAATGTTTAATAATAACAATCTACAAACACATACTTCTAAATAATTGCAAGCGTTGTATTCTTTGCATACCTCATTTCTTCCCCAGTCTTCTGACAGTGGTCATGCTTACTAAGGGCAGGTTACTAGCTCCCCTATTACTTCCTGGATTTCTGGCACACGTGACTAGACATGTGACCATGCACATCATCTCAGGGGAGGAAAATGCCATTCCCTGAGATCTCGTTAGATTACAGATAAGATTTCCCAGCAATGCTCTGCTGATGACAAGGCAATCACAGTGTGCATTGTGTTGGCAAACTGAAGTAATTTGCACTTTAAAAAAAAAAGGAAGTGAATGCTCTGCAAGTGTAAGTATTTCAGAATCACAGCATTTTACACTTGACATGTCTAGGTTATTATTTATAATCCATACATAGAGGGATGCATTGGTAGAATTTGATTTTTGAGTGTAAAGGTCTGCTTTAAGTCTTGCTTGTTATGTTAAATGTTAGTGTTCTTTAGTTCTCTGTAAATATAGAAGCATAGTTCATAATATAGTTTTATACAGTATTGGATATGTTGGAGCTTATGTACCTTACATTTATGATAGTATTTACAGTAGGTGGATCTTTATGCTCATTTTCACATTTTGCTCTATCTCTCTATTATGTGTGTTCAATAACACAGATCTGAATGGTTAATTGCACTGACTTGTCCCTTATCTGAGGGCTCAGTTGAAGGTTTTTCCAGTGAGAGAGACCCTGAATAGAATGTGATAGATATATATTTATGTTATTATACAGAGTAAAATACAGCAGCTGCCATTGTTGTCCTTTTTCTGGAAGTGCTAGGAAAAGCCAACCTATGCACTAAGTGGTACATGGAAGACAGGAGTATTGTGTCATATATAGATATGTGTGAGGATTTTTGGGTAGGAGGGAACCCTTGGGTTGAGGGAAGTCAGGTTGGTAGGATTTTATGAGGGCTGTTGTGAGCCTATAGGTTTAGTTAGAGTCAAGTGATGAGTTTTAGATGTGAGTTTATGTGGGATAGGGGGTTGAATATGGTGCACAGGAGCCATTGTCAATACAAAACAAAAATCTAACATTCCGTAAAAATATACTAAATTATAGCAATCAAGGAAAAAGAACAAAAACACTTTGAGAGGTATTTATCAAAACTAGAGCAGGCAGAATCTAGAGCAGTTGCCCTTGACAACCAATCAGCTTCTCTCGTCAGTTTGTTCAGTTAAGTTTTTAAAATGAAAGAGAGAAGCTGGTTGGTTGCCATGCACAACTGCTCCAGATTTTGTCTGTTCCAGTTTTCATAAATCCCCCCCAATTATGTTTAGTAGGTACAGTACATGTACAGAGGGGATTTTTTTATTTTCACTCATTGGTTTCTAAAGTCATTTGTAAAAATGCTTCCTGTAGTATATTCACCTGTGAATACAATTTAAAATGTAAGGAATGTTCTGCTTTTACTTTTAGCTGCAGAGTGCCATATTCTCTGGAAAAAGTGGTGACCGCATTGGCCAAACTTGTAAAATTGATAATGAAAAACCAAGTGGTCTTTATACGCATATTACAAAGTCAAAGGCAGAATATGTATTATTCTACTCAGGTAAGACATGCTAATTAAAACATTGCAAACTATTTAAATTAAACATTCCAGTTTCATAAGATCATGTAGAGTCTTTCATATTTTCTTAAATCAAAGGTCACTCAATTTTAATTTAGTCTGGGAACCCTGCAGTCTGCTGCAACCAGAATCTCGAGAGCTTTTCGCAGGCATCTTGAAGTATACTTCCAGAAGCCTTTGCTGTAAACCGACTCTCGTAAATAGCAGACATTA